ACACCGGGCGGCTGTTCGGCTGAGTTTACCTTTCTCCGCCGAAACTCTGGTCGACAATCTCAGGTCGGATGAATGCGATTGCCATGAGATTCTCGACACTAGCTCGATTCATTAGTCGCGGAATGTTCCGACTGCAGGATCTCTCTCTGAAATCATTCAGAGAAACAGGACGTTGCCGGACATCGACCGACGATTCCCGGGGAAACCCGAGATCTTCCGACCGGAATGCTTCTCTAATGTCCTGCTGTGTCCGAGTCGGCACGCCGCGTACTCTCGAAATAGCCGGAGCAGCCTCCCCGAGCACAAGTCCCCGCCGCAGGACGCTCTCGTGACGACGCGGAAAATCCGGATATTAAGGGTTGATCATCGTGTGTACGGTATATGTCCGGGGATGCCTGTGTCTGGATTGTTGACGATCTGTCGGAGATGGAGCGGATATCGCGGGCGAGCGCAGATCCAGAAAAAGCGCGCCCTTGAACTTGGTATATCCCAGTGGTCCGGTTCAAGCAGCGCGCGTGACCATGAACTTTGGTGGTTTCGCCTGCGCGAAAGGAGAAAGTGCTCCACAGACACCACCGACCGCCCGGATGGTTCAAGCCGATCCTCGCGCCTCGGTCACAACCCTGGGTCAGCCCTTTGGCACCACCGGGGTTATGGTGAAACAGGTATCAAGCCTTCCGCGAATTATGACCGCTGCTCACTCACTCAGTCAGACAACTGTTAGAGCCATCAGCGAAGGGCGATTCACAGGAGCGGAATCGCACCAGGGGCGAATCCGTTACGAGTTCGCTAACTCGTTTTTCCAGGAAACGAAGCGGAATACTTTCGACTACGACAGCGCCCGAGAGCAGCCCCAACGACAAGTTTCGCTCTTCGAGTTGATCGAATTGATCACTCTCTACACGTGATCCTCCAGGAAGGTGAGGGAATGCTCGACCCGGTGTCCGGAGGTCGACATCTCACGGAGAGAGCTGAATACGATTTCGAGTCGATTCTTCATTATTAGCCTGGAAGGTCATCATCGTCCGCATATCGGATCATCACAGATCACCTCGGTAGAGCAGAGAATAATGCATGCAAAGAGGAATATCATCGATATTGTAGCATATCCCTTGCTCGGTTCGATATTATTTTTCGGAATTTTTTTCCGGAAACATCCAGACGAATGATATAAATTTCCATGCGAATATGTCTCGAGGATACTACTTGTCCAGCAATCAATATGATTTTCGACCAAATGCAAAGATCCATAAGTTCCAGAGGAATATTTTCATCGACGTTATCATCGACGGTCGAATAGCGGAAACGACGTCATGATCATTACCGGAGTGGGGGCGAAGAGCAAGAAAAAGACAAAATAGACACCCGGTGCGGCGATTGTCGTCGCCTCGCAATCAGACGAGTTCAGGAACCGCAAGTATTATGCCAGTGAACGGCGAGGAAATTGCTGATTATGTTGCGGTCATGATCCGCGGATCAAAAATCATGACCGCTCATGAGGGAATACTTACGGGGCACTCACTACCAGGTTTCATCGCTCATTTCGAACGTAATAATCGACAGAAAAAATGAGCAGCACCTTTCTGGAACAGTAGCTCCCGTCGAATCGGCGCCCTCTTGACTCGACGCTCCCGAAATATTGCGTAACGCACGACTCGAGCAGCTCCGGAAAAAGCGTGCGCAAAAAAGTGGTGAAGGATACGATCGAGAATGCCTCACTCGACACCCAGACAGTCCGCGGCGATCTCGTCGAAAGCTCGGATCGGCATGCACGGGAGCGCCATGCGGAGCGTTCCCGAGGAAGGCAAAGATTGGGAACAAATAGAATGCGACGGAATTCGGCGAATCCGTCGGCACGCTGTGAATGTCAGCGCATATGGATGGAGAGGAGTAAGAGGGCTGCAAACGCTCCAAGTCTTCCCGCACAAAGAAGACCGTGTGCAGATTGACGCGGTCACTGAGCCGGATAGTCGGCTCGATCACCGCATAGCAAAGGCGGGAAATGCTCCCGAGCAATTTGTTTTGCGCCGTGTCCTCAGCCGAAGTTCCACAGGACCGAAGAGGGAAGGCAGTAGGAAACCTACGCTGATGTTCAGGATTGGTCCGCCTGTTTCGCCGAGGGTCGTTGCAGTCGTGGAGCTCTCGCGTTCGGGTCGCAGGACGCGCTAACCACTCGATCCCCTTGCCGATTCATTCTCGCATGTCAGAAAGAAGCTCAATAATACTGAAGGGTTTCACCGTCCCTCGACATCTTCCTCTTTTGGAGAGCGACTCTTTGAGCAGATTGAGTTAATGAGGTCCTCAAACGGGAGCGCTGATTGAGTCTCGCCCGCGCTGCCGTCTCATAATTTATTAGGGACGAAGTTTGACTTTGGACGAATCCCGCTTTGAAGCTCTCCACGCCGACACCCTCACCCTGTCCCTCGCTCGAACCTTTCCCGAGTGGCCGAACGCCTCACCTGATCGACTGTCTCCGGGAGATGATTGAGAGTGTTTTTTACAGCTTCGGGTCCGTTCCGAAATTGAGTCATGGACGCCTGGATTGGGAAAAAGACCGAATCGATCTTTTTCGGAACCATCAGAGACTCAGGCTCGATTTTGGAAGCCTTCCTGTTTTCCAATCACCGTCTGTATCGATAGATCTAGACCTCCGGATTCTGGCTCTAATGATCGGACACAGACAACTCATCGCCGACCAACTCATCGCCGAAATCTAAACGCCGACTTCTCAACGCCGGATAGCTCAGCGCCGAGACAACTCAACGCCGAGAAAACTCATCGCCGGACAACCTAACGCCGGACAATTGATCGCCGGTCAACTCAACGCCGAGGACCTGTCGGGTCCGGTCAACTTAGCGCCGAGAACCTGTTGCTAACTCGATTTAAGCTCAGGAGGCACACTGCTTGAAAATGATGCGTCCAGATGATTTGCTATCCCAAGTACACAGCTTGACAATATGTACTTCCAGACGAGTCAACGACTTCCACCCGTTTACGGTAGTCGAATACTTGCGCGGGTGCGCGAAGACTTCCTTGTGAAACCCTGGATGATTGCGTGCATATCGGAAAAAGCTCGAAAAGAAGTACCTTAACGGACGAGGTCGATGAACACTGCCGAGGTCCTGGCCGTCCTAGCAGATTCTACACTTAAGACTTGTCATAAGGTTATGTGAGAATAAAATGACGCAAATATGACGAAGCAGGAACGCATCATCTGATTTGAGGTGAACGCATCATATTCGCGCAAAGAACATCCGGAGCAGGCTAAGTTTCGGCGTTGAGTTGACCGGCGATCAATTGTCCGGCGATGAGTTGTCTCGGCGTCGAGTTGTCTCGGCGTTGAGGTATCCGGCGTTGAGAATTCGGCGTCTAGATTTCGGCGATGAGTTGGTCGGCGATGAGTTGTCATGTACCGTCTAATGATGGTCAGCGCCCATGGAAATGTGACGTAGAGGACTGGGGGGCGACTCTCTGCTAAAGAAATAAATTATAAACTCTGCCCGCTGGGGTCATTGTCCTACGGTGTCTTTCATCGGTAGGTATGTAAATCTCCCAAATCCCACTCGGTGTATCCAATTATCCTCCAAGCTCGATTGATCCACTCGGGGGCAAAAGTGTGCCGAGTTCATCAACGAGGGCCAAAGTGCAAGAAAAATCTCCGACGGAAGGAAACTGGGAGCTCTCAGATAAGATCGTTTCATTACGCATTCGAAGAGCGTCCGACGGGAGGCAGGGACGGAGTGAACGAATCGGGAAGGTAATCGACATCGACACCCGGTACCAGCGGGGAAGCGCGCCACGATTGCCCGGGTCGCTGAGCTCCTTCCGGAATCAGTGTCGGATCTATGGCCTCTCAAACATTGTCCCGGAAAAGGGAAGAATCCCTGAGCACAGTTGACGTGTGCAGACAAAGAGTATTTCTCAGGAGTGTCGACTCAATGAGAGAAGCTCTCTCCTATCGACGTCAGAACATTCCCTGATGCATATTTTTTTCTTCGAGAAGAGGCGGTAAATCACAGTTTTCTCACCGCTACGGGATCCCCTGATTGTGCGACGGCACGCGCTGAATTCGGTGACTCCTGTTCCTGGTGGTCTCCCATAGCCCTTCACGTCGCCGGTCCCAGAATGAAAACGAGATGAGTTTCTCCGTTTTTTCGTTTTTCCGGTCTTTATTATTTGTACGGGAGTGTAATTTCGTCGTGAGCTAACGAACAATATGTACACACATTTCATTCCGAATTTTCCGTGAAACGGTATGTCCACGTACACGTCCATCACTTCGAACTAAGCCATTCCAGGAGTAAAAGAAATTACATTTTTTGATCCCAGGCGATGATTCCGTGGTTCTCTTTCCTCTCGAAACATTGTCTTTTCCAATCGATCACGCTATGCACGCTGTAGAAAATCAAGAAGCCGACATACAAATCAAGATGGTCGTGAGGAGCGGGAGGAAGAAGGAGAAGGATTATGCTTCCGGTGGGAATGAATCTCTTTTCCGGTTTTTAGTTTTGGGTTTTGAAGCTCGTCCCAACTCCGAAGGAGATCCGGCGTTCTCGGCCCGCGGCATTCACCTCATCTGGGTCTCGTGTCCAACTGGGCGACGCGAGCCGCTTCGAAGGCGCGGTCATCTAGCTGACAGAAACTATAGTCTCGAGGAATTTCTCCCTGCCGAAGGTGAGCCTCCGAAAAAGATCAAACGCATCGAGCGTTCGCGCACGAGACCATCCGCCTGCACTTCTCTATTCCTCCTCTTCCCCGAGACCCTCCGTATTTACAAGACTCCATCTGAGTCCTTCAAGGATCGAGCAGAGGTCGAACCTGACTCGCTTCAGGCAGTGTGAGTGAGATGGTGTGAGTGATTGATACTCGTCATGTATTGCACACATTGGATGATCTGAGCTATGTACAAGCATTCAGTCAGTTGATCAATCAATCAATCAGGCGGTCCGACGGTCAATCGGTCGGCTTCAAACATCTGCTCTTATCCGCTCCTCCCGAAATCGTCGAACGGACAGCTTCATCTCTGAGTACGACCTTACCTAAATTGGCCAGTTGAGCTGAGAGCACCGTATTTCGGTCTCTCTTGAATGAAAGTATAGAAATGGTCTTCTCCGAGATTCCAGACCGCTCGAACGAGTGAGTCCCGATCGGCGGCTTATCCGGTGACGCGGGAATCCTCGACTTACTTCCTCTAGCGTCGAAGTCGTTCTTATTTTTTTTTCCACTTCACAGTTGGCTCTTGCCGTTATTCGCACCTACTAGTAATCTAGTCGATTAGAGTCCTCTCCCGCTGTCGAATCCTCCTTTGCCTTGTAGAGCGTCATGCACCGCTTTGAGCAAGGGGAAGGGGCCGAAGCCGCAAAGACCCTCTTTGTCGTCCGCGAATGCGTTGTACATCATCAGGCCTCGAGATTGACCGAGACTTCGAATAAATTGACCGGACATGGGACCCATCCCAGTCCAGAGGATAACCTGTCCGTCATCCTGACGGGTTTGAGCGCTGAAACAGAACAGATTCCTCTGAGTTAAGATAGGCGGCTCCATGGGGAAAAACGGAGCAAGAGCCCGGCTCGCCGCTGCTGTGATCCGAACCGGACTCACTCGAACGGTTCGATCGCGCACGGTAGCTCTACACGAACTTCCCTGATTTTCGCGAGTCTCGCAGCGACTGTCTGATCTTGATCCTGCTCGCATCGTCGAGTGGATGTTACCTAACGCGCGGTAATCTTTCGATCTCAGACGGCTTGGTGTCCAGAATCGTAAGCGTTCGGTAGGTATTTTGGGACGGACCGCGCGTGGTTGATTATGGCTCTACGGCTCTATAGCGGACGTTTCGCCGCGGATGGCATCAGAAAAAAGAATGAAGGACGGCGAGCGTATTCTGGAGAACACGTGAACATCTCGCCCTTTCGGCTCCGCGGAATTCGGGAGATGGGACGGCATTTCTTTCGGAGCCATCGACGCATTCTTTCGTTTCCCGATTTCTCACGCGATACGTGTTCCTGCTTCCTACACGACCTCTCCTGTTCTAGAGATTCGGAACGGCGATGGGAAACGCCGGGCCATGTAGGAAGTGATCAACATTTTTGTTTGCCGACGGAGACGAAGAAAGAGCCCCCCTTCGGATATGTACTCGAAAATCTCACCTGAAGCAATCACTCTCCGCGCCGTATCTCATCGTTCCTTCGATAAGCATTCCTCGAGAGGCGTGCTTGCAGAACTCGCTGTAGTAGCTCCGAGTGCAGTTGTACACAGCTGTCTTGTTGTATACGCGACAGTTGGTGACGAACGGCGCCACAGCGAAAACGAGATTGCGTTTCCACGTTTTACCGAAGTAGTCCTTCGCTTCTTTCAGCACCTGTAACGGTTCAGGAGACACCGTCAACCGCCGCGCTCCAAGATGCGCTCTCTGTTGTTTGCTGGTTTGTCCGTCTCTTGCTCGCTAGCTTCGCCCACTCAGTCGTTTCTCACGCGCACCCAGCGTGTCTTTTGTTCTCGGGGCTCGTGATCAGTGTAATTGTTGCGCATGTTTCAAAGAAGACCGGTCGAGGGAGGAGGAAACGGAGCACAATGATTTCCGTACTCGGTTGAGCACGTTCATATTAGCTCGTGTAGTGCGGAGAGAGCGATGGTTCAGCTCGGGCGACCTACCCCAACTCAAACGTTGCGGTGGCTCGAAGCACTTGATTCTGAAAGCGCCCCCAGCGATTTGCGCGCGGGCGAGGCGTTTTTCCCTCCTCCGGTCTCGATCTCTGTCGAGCGCCCTCCTCTACCAAGAGCAACAATTATTGTGGTTTCTCGCTCGGTGACTTCTCACCCCGCCTGCTTCGAAGCGTTTCATTGTCAATTGATTCCTAATGGACTCCGTGGAAGCCCACGGGGTGTTGAATTCTACGTTACGTAGCATTGTTGGCGGCTATCAGTGTTCGAGCACAAGACTACTAGTTCTCTCCTATCAGCTCTCTCCGGCAATAAGAAGAGAAGGCACTAATTCGTTTCCACAGTAATTATTGGGAGAAGCTAGGGAGTCGTCTCCGGCACAGAATTTCTTCGCGGCATTTAATTCGCGGCGAGGAGCGGCGGGAAGGCGCTAACTCCGTCGAGCGTCTCGAAATAGAGAGGCTGGCCCAGAGTCACTGCTCTCCGACCTACGGTCGCTCCAATTTTTCCGCAGTGTTCTCTTCGCGTCGTAGAATTTGTTCCGCGTGAATATTACTTCCTGAATAGGAGCACAGGGGCTAATGTCTTTCGTGTATGTGTGTGCGTGTGTGTGTTTATCACTGCACGAAGCTTTTCGCATTAGCTTACTTACCTTGGTTTGGGTGATGACTCTTTTATCGCGCACCCATTTGAAGGGCGAGACGCAAAGAGTGCTCGTCGCTGCTCGCAAAGCCCCACTTGTCAGGAGGACCGGTCCCAGGCCCTCGTTAACAATGTTACGAAGTGAATACTCACGATAGCGTTCGAGCGAAGGTTTCACCAAGAACGCATGCTCGAAGCCCTTCTCGGCGAGATACTCGGCCATCTGCATGTAGAGCACGGCCCAGCGCGCTCGCAATTGGGCTCGCTCGCCCTTGTCGCCCTGGTTGTAATGTTTGGCGCTGTCTAATTCTCGCAGCGCCAAGCCTTGGACTTGGTAGCGTTTCAGCAGTCCGATGACGGCGTCGAATGCTTGCTTTCGTTTAGGGGAAATCGCAGGTGTCCCAGAGGTGGATCGGACGCGCTGTTCATCGTCGCTTGCCATTGGCTCGTTGTCATCGATCTCGAGTAATCTGTCGAAGCCCGAGTCGAAGTCTTTGGTGGCTAGCAGAATTTTCACAGATGACGGCATTGCTCCTCGGAGACGATTCAGCATCTGCGCGTCCGACATCACCTTTGGCATAAGACCTGAGCCCTGGAGATGAACCTCTCCGTCAACGAGAAGATACGTGCATTGGTCTGCCAACTGTCGGAGCTGATCGTCCCGCAGACCGGCGTTAGCGTACACGTGGCACCAGAGTTCGCGAGCCGGTGACGCTGTCGGTTGGGGCCTCCGAGTCGGTATCGACGCCTCGGTCGTATGGTGTTTTTCGGCTTCCCTGTTCGACGGAGTGGTAGTCGATGTCGTTCGATTATCTTTTAAGATGCCCTTAAGTATATCAATCGGCCTTAACGTCGACGTTCTCGTCGGGTAATCATCGAAGATGGGAGGTCCTGAAACATGTAGGGCTATAGAGAGAGATCACACGACATCCAACACCGTGCGCCGCTTTCAGCGGAGAACCGTGCCCGCCATCATCCGCAGAGGAAGTCCCCACCATTATTCGCGGCCGTAGCCGCGACAATGAGCGGTAGCAGCGAGAACTGCGCTCCCTCCTCTCCTACGGTCGGACGTGTTGAACATTTTCGGCTCATGCATCGGAACATGCAAGTGATATCTCCCGGAAAACCGCTCGAAACAATCGCTCCGGGAACCCACCTTGGTTCTCAGCGTCGTCGGTTTCGCCTGATTCCTCGGTGCTATTCGGATCTTCCTCCGTTGTAGGGTCGTCGGTCGCTTCGGACGCCGGAGGTTCAGGGTAGGTCATCGATGGGTTTGTGAGAACTGCGTAAAAAAACACAACATTCGGTTTCATTAGCCAAGCGGGACCTAACTTACTGTAACCAAAGCGATAGACCAGAGCAGACCGATCGTCTATGTTAGTCGAGGAGAAACTCCTCTTCAATTCTCTTCTTTTAATAAAGAGATTCGCAAAACGATACAAAATATTGGTCTGGCTTCCCGGCTGTCTCTTTGGGCAGCTTCTAGAAAATGAGTTTCTCTCTTGCGCTTTTTTTTTCTCGCGCTCTATCTCCGAGGGGCAACGTCTCCAAAATTTGCTTTGGTTATAGTAATACTAACGTCTACGATCCTGTAGGTATCTCCGACTGTCTTCATCAGACTCATCAGGTAGGTTATTACCCTCCTCCTTTGTCGGCGGGATGGACATGGTGGAGTTCCGTCTGATCCAAACGAGAATCTTGTTCAGAATTGCTTCGACACTCAGCTGTGGGAATGGGATCAGACCTCCGTTGTTGATGTAGTTGTTGTGAGGATGTCCAGAGGCCATGATCAGTTGGAGGAGACTGGCGACCAGGAGGACAACGAGTGCAAGGAGAGCCGTTGTTGTCACGAGCAACAGCCAGTTCCCGCATCCATTCGAGGGACATCCCCCTCCCCCAACCGATGCCGAATTCAAGGACTCCTCGGAATCATCCAATCTCCCCCGGGGTCCTCCTCGTCTCCCAAGACCCCCTCCGACCGGGCTGCAAGGCGGAAGGGACCGGTCAGTTCCGCTTGCTAATAAGCCTGCTCCGCACGTCCGTCTCAGCAGACAATGCGAATGATCGACGGAAAAAATCGCCTATCTCGAGCTCTGAATTCGAGTAGCAAGAGATACGAGCTCGTCGTCGAGATACCCAGCGGGACCTGCTTCAAACCATAGATCCCCACGACGACGTGCAACAGCCAGTGGCTGACCTTTGCTGGAGGAACCTCGAGACAACTCACCTCGATGGTGTTGAAGATTCCAGGCCCGAAACCCAGTTGCCAACCTGGGGGGATCCTGGAGGAGGCATGCTTGGAGTTCGATGGCTATCTCCTCCGGGTCGACATCACACTCTGTAAATTGGTCACTGGAATCATTCACAATCCCTCACTGAGCCACGCGCTCGGATCCGAGATTCGTCTCGGACCATTCTCCGAAGGATTCTCGGAAATCGCACTCCGTGGAAAGAGTGGATCTCGAGGGCAATTAGAAACTCTTGTCCTTCGAGGAGATCGTCGCTGGCTGGCCTACGATTATCTGGTCGGCCGCTTTCTCGGCTGACTGACTGAATGACTGGCGTGCGTGCAATGACCCTGCGCTGAACATCGAGCCGCCGGCCGACGATCTCATGCGCAGGCTTCGTTGGACGCTCCTTGGGATTTCCTGCACGCGGAGCACAGCACCGATTTTTCTTATCGCCTTCCTCTGGATCACATCGACACTCACCACTCGAAGGCCCGCAACTCCACAAAAGTGATCCCGAAATGAGCGAACGGTTTTCTCGTCACACGGCTCTCCTCCTGAGCAGGCCAATTCCGCAGTACCGATGAGCTCTAGGGAAACGATCTCCGGCCGAATCCACCGTAGACCACGGAGGTCTTGATCTCTGGGTCACTTTCCGCGGTTCAGAAAGAGAATTCGGCTCACTATTCCTCGAAAAATAGTGACACGCTCGCCACGAACACCGCCTCGAGGAGCTGACAATGTAACTCAGCCCAGAAAACAAGATGGCGGAGGGAGGGCATCGAGAGCCTTGGGAGTCCGCGGGTGGGAAGAGCGGGAGCAGCGGGTCGTTAGGGGAGTAGCAGCAGCAGCACCGCCGGCAGCCGGAGCGGCGGAGGCACTGGGGACATAGGGAAAGGGATCCGAGAGCGGAAAGGAAGGGAACAACAACGTCCCAACCAAAAGGACAGATGGAGAAAGGCAAGCAGGCCAACCAGACAGCTTGCCTTTACGACTCGCACTTGCCGCTGATGATGATCCCGCGATGATTTAGTGGCTTTTGTTACTGGAGCGTCGGGACGCTGCGTTCGAACTTCATTTCTAGAGCGGAGGTTCTGCTGCCGCCACGGAACGGAGTCGAGCGTTTTACGATTTCGCATGGAGCGTGCTGACGATACGTGCCGGAGAATTTCGACCTTGTCTATTGAAAATATTTCCGACGCGGGCAGAGGAAGGCTCCTGGACGCTTTAGACGCTCGTATAGAGGAGATACTGGAAATATTAAGAGTGATCCGACGCTGCCGGACGGCGAGAACGATGAGGACGGGTGCAAACGGAGGGGGAGCGGAACCGTGGGCGCTTGAGGGTGGGGAATTAAGGGGCTGAGGGAGGAACCGACTGCAACTTTATTAAGACAAATGTGAACGCCATAACGGTCTCTGGTAGTGGTGGTCGCAGCCAGCCAGCCGGCGAGTCAGTCAGTCATTCCGTCAGACATTCTTTTCGTCTGCGTTCTAGGAGGGGGAAGGAATCAGACTGAGGGGTCGCTTACCCCCTACATTTTTTCCTTGGCTCAGAAAGCAGAGTCGCCACCTTCTCATTGTTTTTCTCCTTTTACTTTTCGCTGTTCTCGAAACTGGTGTCGTCGCTGTTCACCGACTGTGGCGGAATCCAAGAGTAGCATTCCCCTGATCCTCTTCAACTTCTCTCCCCATTCTGAGGTATGCCCACTCTCTGTGGTGTACTCATCGCTCGTCGCTTCGTCGTTGGCTGGCACATTCTGCTCGAATGGTTCCGTTGGTCGTTTGCTCACCAAACTGTAGAGCCATTGTTCGAACGGGGTGAAGGTTGACTAGAGAAAGCAGTAGGAGGAATCCGTGACAAGTCGACGACTTTTTCCTCGGAATCTCATTCACCGAGCCGGGGAATCGACTCGCTCGGTTTTGCCGCGAGTCTAAGTCTTGCAGTCAGCGGGAGTATTCTGTTGCGAGCAGGTGCGGGAACCCGAGCGGAGTCGCGCGAAAATACGGTGATCCGCCGACCGGAGGAACCGGCAGCGTAATATGTCCGCCGTGTGTGACCTGAACGCTGCCGTACGGGATCGCTCGACGATGGCGACTCCACTGAGAAGCGAGCCGTCAGCCGGATTCAATTTGCCAGTCCCTTGTTCACCTTCCCGCACCTCGCTCAGCTCGTCGTCGGAAGGCTGCGATTCAGGTCCGGACCACGGACATGCTAACTCAGTGCTCAACAGCCTCGTCGTTACTCTCACGCGGTAATTTGCGGTCTCGACGACGGCACTTTGCGGGACCGAGAGCCTTTTTCGGGCTCCCTTAGACACTAATCCCAGATATGAAGTGCGTGGCTCGGTCATGACCTTTTCTCGGGCGAGTGTTGCTCACCGACATGGCCCCGGAAGCGTACTCGTATACGCTCGGGGAATTCCCTTGCGAGGCGCAACCGTTTTCCAGTAACGATTTGTTCGGGGGGCGTGGGCTCTGAAGGAAGGTCGCAAAGATGCCCTCGAGAACGGAGACGTCTACGAGGGAGATATACACATAAATATAATGTGGGACCTCAAGGGACGCCCGCACACGGTCGGTGCCTCGCTATCACCTCCTGCGGTGCGTCGTTCTCACCTCCCGCCAACGAGAGAGGCTCCGCGCAGGTTGTTCGATTTGGGCGATAGGGATCGACGCTGGAACGCAAGGTGACAGTGCCGCATAGCCCCGAGCAACAGTCGATTCGGCCGCGCCGCAAGCATGGGTAGACACTGTCACCGTGTGCTTAGTAGCTGTAGCTTCGCGGATTCCCCCCATCAAATCCGTTCGGCCGGCGTTCTGCCTGACGACGAGCAGGCAGCGACGCATTCTCACATAAAACCTCCTCCGAACCGATGTAATTAATGCATTTCAATCAAGCGAGCATCGACCCCCGACATTCGTGCCTACGCCGGGGCGCGTAAATATTCGTTGCGAGGGAGCCGTCATGAAGATCCGGCGGAGATGAAATTTTTGTCGTCGGGATAAAAATCAGAAACGCGCGCAGGAAAGCTGGACCGGAGTCTATTCGATGATAATGATAATTTCTCCATCGTCACGGAAGCATAGAACCCCAAGCCTCGCAGTTCCGCCGCCTCGCGGACGACGCTTTCAGAATGCCATGAATGGCTCTCTTGACGTCCTACGTCCGGCCGCGCGGCGTCCGTCTTGACGAGCCTCAGGAACGAACTGGATACCAGCCAACAGAGGGAGCCCTCAAGAGTACGTACGGACAAGCAAGCCAGCCAGCGGACGTGGAGGGGAGCGGAGCAGCTCGGCGTGCTCCACGCAGACGTCGGCAATCAATGCGTCGGAACGGCAACCGAATAAAACAGAAGCGAAACATGCAGCCTTTACCCTCTTCCCCTCGATCTCCCGGTCTTGATTCGTTTCCTGCGTGCCGATTCGGCCTCGATCGTTCCGCTGCATCGCTCTGCCATGTTTCTCAGCGTCATCGGCTCCCTTTGTGTCGGCGAGAGGCGGAAGGGGCAGAAGGGCGCAGAACGAGACGAAGTGGACGACAACCGTACGAAGCTGTTTCACATCATTTACCTCCTCGATCCGTCTCCTCTTGCGTAACTTTGCTCGAACGGAAAGAGGAACGAGAACAGGAAGAGAATGGACGAGTTCTATGGAGCGGCGGGTCCAACGACGGAAGATTGAGACGGAGAAAAACCTCCCTGACACGGAAAGCTTAAGTCGTCGACACCTTGTCACCGAAGGCACGTTCGAGACAGGACCAACTGGAACAATACAATGAGACGGATAGAGTCTTGCAGCAGCTCGACCGCCCGCCCGCTCGCGCGCTTTCTTGCAGCTGCCCGCTCACCCGCGGGCTCCGCAGCGGGGGCGACAATGGAGTAGAGCCCCCATACAAAGAGTAATGGAGGACGACCACCGACTAATGGGCTATCGGCGGGAGCTGAAGCGAGCGATGACGGAGTGATTCGAGCGAGTTAAGATGGAGAGTACCAGTTATGAACTGAGCGCTCTGCTTCCTTTCCTCTAACTCCGAGAAAACCGTGGAGAGAGTTCCGGGCTCCGCAGGAACACAGCAGCCGGTAGGGCCTCATTCTTCCTTTTTCCGTCCCATTTTTGATTCCGAGAGACGCGCTCTCCGATTTTTCCATCGAAATATGGGTCGCTGTATCCTCCGGTCCGGTCATGTACACCGTTGCGTCGGAGAAGCTGGTCAGCCTCACCACCAAAAAAATAATAATTATTCCTCGTCAAAATATTGGAGTCGATCACAATTCCGCATTTTCTCCCACTCCGAACTCCCCGCGGCAATCGGAGTCTAGCCCCGAAGGCATGACACGATACCCCAACGTAGACATGGCGGTACCTTGATTTTCCGCGTAAACACTCCGTTTGCGAACCTGGCCACTGAATAAACAACACGCCCGCCACCGGCTTACGAAGTAGGCCGATGCATGCATGATGGGGCTATTATACGCTTATCGCTCCGTGGTTGATGGGTGTTCTCCTCTCCATGTCTCTCTTTTTGACATCGCTGCTCTCTCGCAAATCGTTCCCGACCTCCATCACGGCCCACATCCGAGCCCGCTTGCGAAGGGTGGAAGCGGAACGTTGTGCAATCACAGATGCGTGCGCATTATGAATTCGCATCAACAAATGCTTAGCCTCCCTGCGAGAAGCAAGCGCTGGCTAACTATTGATTGCGATCGACAGGAAGAGGGCAGATCTGGCGGCTGTGCGAACGCTGTTATCTGCTCGGATGCGCGGAGTCCCCTCCGAATCGAATGCGAATCAACGGAGGAAGGCTCGCGTGGTGGGTGGAGGACTGGTCGGGTGTTCGGTAGGGTGGCGTCCGATCGGGTTGGGAGCCCGAGCGAATATTTGGCTGTTTCGGGCCCGAGGAATCTCTGGATGGATGAATGAATGAATGAATGCTCGTAGCATGGATTTGCTTTCGATCGGTGCCGTTCCGAGGCGCTCAAAAACGTTCAGGGACGCGCAGTAGGATTATCGAGTGAGAGAAGAACAAGTGATCGGGAGACTAATCGCATCGCGTCGCACAGCCGAGCGTCCGAGGATCAG